AGTGATTTGTAGGATGGTACTTCCTTGTCCCCGTGGGCTGGAGAAGAGAGATCTGGCACTCAGAAGCACCCCAGTCCTTGACCGCTTGTCTGCACGAGGAAGCAATGATTTGCCAAGCTGGAAAGTGCAAAGTGGGATGCAAGTAAAATCACCTGGTGTTTGTCTGAGGACAGAAGGCTTCGTGTTTGTTCTCTTTCTACTGTTTGCCCAAAGGACAGGTGATCTTTTAACAGTCTTATTTGCATTCACTGCAGGAGAGGCACCCAACTTTGCCCTATCTGGACAAGGTGGCAGTTTTCCAAGCATTGTGCTTATTTTGTATAAAACACAGCAAGTTAAAGCTCCCTTTCTCCTCTAGACAGACAACTGGTTGCTCTTACCTCAATGAGTGACCCGTCTGACTGTATGATGCGGATGACCATCACCATAGGGATGCAGATCATGGAGGAAAGGGCAAGAACCCAGCCCAGGCCAATTGCCCAGTCTGGGTATGTGTAGACCTTGTTGTAGGTCAGTGGTTTATACTTGGCCAAAGAAAAGATAAAGCACCCCTGTGGATGAGAAAGGAAAACAAAGTGAGGCTCCAAAAATATTGAAAGCAGTAGCACTCTGGTGCTACCACTGGCCATAAGGAAGACAGACAGCGAAAAGGCAGACCTGATGGATACTGCATGTATTTTAAATCAATGGGGGAATTATTCTTCCATTTAAATTACTGAAAGAGCATCTGCATCTGCTTATAGGTAAACTGTTGCTTGCCAATAGGGTGTTAAGCAATGGTGCTGAACAGCTGCAGTATGCTGCCTGCTCTTTTTCAGGGCTCAAATTTATTTGCTACACATTGCAAGGAGTTTACTGGGCCGTTCTTCACAGCAAATGAAATACTTCAAGCTGAGTGCCTGCCTCGGACTGCTCGCATCTTTTTGTTAAAATGGCCTAGTAGTCCTATCACTTAAAAGTGTCCCCACTTAAAAGTAGGGTCTGCTCTTTGGAGAGCGAGTTTTCTGTGTCATGAATGTAGTATTTTGCCAATCCTAGGAAAAAATCCACTCATATGTGCCCAACTGCAATTTGCACAGGCACAGCACAGAGCTGTCACGTTAACAGCTAACATCTGAGAAGATGGTGTCTTTGAGGGGTATGTTCAAACCTCCAGCAGCTCTTTGCAAACTGGTCTCCAAATGCAACAGCATTTACTTGAAGAGAAGCAGCTCAGAGCTGCCATGCAGAAGTCTTGAAACAGCATGGGGTCAGTACTCACCACGCAAAGAACTGGTGTGATCACAATCCAGCTCCATTTCATCCAGGGACCAGGCCTGTATCCAATCATATCCTCAATGGCATCATAAATATTATCAGCGCCTGTAACGGATAGTGAGCACTTTCATCAGAATTGAGCATATAAAAGCCATGTAAGGACTGTGGGATTGCAGCTGCTTTCCTAGCCTGCCCCCCAGGGATATTTAAAGGGAAGACAAGGGTGTCAGATGTATTGTTCAAATGTTTCCCATGGCTGTGAAGTTCAAGACAATTTTCCCCTTGAGAAGCTCAAAGGTTGGGGGACAATTTCATCCTACACACCCCTCATTATTCAGATGCAGAAATGCAATCCTAATCCCTCCTGACCCTGTCAAGCACCCACTCCTCTTCCCAGACCCTCACTGAACTTGCCAGAGGGATCACCATGGGAAGGACATGACAGCAAACAGTACACCCGGCAGATGCAGGAAATATGACTGATGCAAAATGAAGGCTTTACTTGTTTTGCTTTTCTAAGGAGATGGAGTACATGAAGAATTGGGGAAATGACCGGTCCTAAGCAGCAAATGTCTACTGATCATTCCTCAGCTGCCATCTCAGGCAGCTACAGAGGCTACTGTCAGACTTTGGTACTCAGCATTGCCTAAAAATAACAGGACACAATACACTTTTCTGTCAGCTTTCTTTTTGTATTTTCTGTTTGGTTGGCTTGCCCCTTGCGGACATTGCGGCTCTGAAAGGAAATTCTCTGAGACACAAACAGAAATTTTCATGGCTGGCCAAACTTTCAACTCTCATCTCTAAACTTAACACATGTAAATGCTTAATTGTGCCTTTATTAATTAGTAATGGAAAAAATACTCATTTTTGTGTGGAAAAACACTGGAGACTGGCTTCATCCCAGATGCAAATTTGTCTCCAAGAGGTCAGTGCAAATTTATATTAATGGCATGTGTCTGTTGCTGGGAAGAAGATTCTAGGGTGGCTGATGATTAAATGTTTGGCTAGCAAAATTGTCACTGACTCATCAAAAGTATCAGATGAAAGGATTATCACTTACCATAAACCCAGGCTACAGCAATACATTCAAAGAATGCAACCCACAAAAGGCATACACCACTAGCTGCATAGTAGTCAAAGAGTTGAAAAACATACATGCCACCCTGTAAAAGAGAGACACAATGGATTAGGATCCAACAGGAAAAAAACTGAATACTTCAGGCCCAGCTCCCAGTAACATCTACCAACATATCTTAATGATTGCTGTCTAACAAGAAGAAATATCAAGCAAGTAGGTAACGTAAATATTTGGTATTACCTTCCCCAGGGAATATGCATGTTTACTGCAGGAAGCATTCCAAACAAGACAATGATTAAACAAAATTAAGCCACTTAGTATAATCTACTGAGACACTTACATCTTTCCTTCTTAAAAGTATTTTAGGGTGGGCATTTATAGAAACAAATGATGTAAAGAAATAACAGTTCATCTCCTAACATTATCACCTCCAAAATACTAAAAATACAAGTCAGTTTATCAGAAGGGTCTTCATTTATTAATTGAGTGGAAGGATATTTTCATGAGAAAATTTTTTTTTTTCTTTCTATCTCTCTATTTATACTATGCTGTTAGACTCTGCTCTCACTACACTGAACTGTATATAACTGCACTTTTACTTGAAAAACTGTGTTTGTTAGGCACCTCTGTTACAGGTGCTATTTACATCCCACAACCGTGCTTTTCCAGTTGTTTTTAAAATCTGGCTTGGATTTTATTTTGGAGATAAATATCACAACACAATGCAGCCACTGGAACATATTCCCATCTTGCTTATACTAGAATAAATCCAGTGGTATTTAATTGATTCA